CTCAAATTCGGAGTGACCCTGGTAGCTAGGTTCTTTCGCTATAAGCCTTTTACTATAACATAGATACGCATGTAAGATTTTGGGCCCATCTGTCAGATTTGTTATTAATTATCTAAGTAAATTTTAACTAGGATGCTTTTGTGGGATTGGTTGGTCTCTTAATGATTCTAAACTTTGGAATGTCACTTGTTATCAACGCCTCCGCCCCATACGCTCAAATCAAAATATGTTCACTAACTGGTAATATGCTGTATCAACATAACATTGGGACAACCGACTTAGTTTCAATTTGATTGGTCTCCATTTTGATAAAAGAAGCTATCACATCGTACTGCCGAGTCTATTTTGACATGCACATTTCATAACTCGTGTACGTGTAAAGGCGTGTGATAGGTCTGTGGACCGCGTCATCAACCATGGACCCTAGCTTGTCGGACACGCTTGTGGTAGGCCTATGTGAAAGGCTTGACAATCAGGATTGACGATACACGTAATCGTTTTTTAACGGAACGAGGATGTAGTACAGGAAAGTAAAAGTAGTTCCGACTACTTTACATTCGTGTATCCTCGTTCCAACTCGGGACGTTTTATTTGAAGTAATTGTTGGCACTGAAGCAGGCATATTGCTAGTTGTACCAATGGAGCTTTTTGATCATATTAACAAAACTGCTTTTTATTTGGTAATTCCGTGGTATGGATTTTTTTTTCATTATTATAGTGAGTTTACATGTTTTCATTTATTTTTAAAAGAAAACATTTTTGTTTCGATTTTTAAAGTAAGCTAAACCTGCAGGAAGTGTATCACGGGCTTTTACATATTATCGTCAAAGTCCTTTTTTTTCGGTGTGGGGGGGGGGGTGTTCCAACTTCGTGGAATTTTAAAGATGTGCTTGTGGGAAATAAAACAGCCGTTGGGTACTCGAATTGTATTAGAGCGGCAGGCCCATGAATCTCCAGGACACAGAACGCGCTGACAAAACAAGGGGTGTTGTGATAAGAGTGACCCTGGTAAGAGAAAATAGATCAGAAGAGAAGGCGCATGAGCTAAATGGACGGCACTGCTACAATATGATTGCACTCTCTACATGGGAAAGCACGCCTGCTCTTGAACCAATAAAACAACTTACTTAAAGAATAGAAGATTGAAGTACAATGTAATTCCAGCAGATGTGACATGTTTAAGCTCTGGCAGGAGCTTCTACATGTCACTTGGTGGTCGGTCGGTCTGTCTGTGTGTCTGTCTGTCTGTTTGTCCCCGAAAATTGACAAAAAGTATGGTGTTCCATGTGTGCCATCGGCGTCGCATTTTGTGGCGTCACATTTTTAAGCTCTGACAGGGATCATTTTGATCGATTTCATGCAAGACTGTCATGTAGGACGTTTTGCAACACGGCCAGAGCTTATTGTGCGCTCGCACTTGTTTCAAAGAAGGCTAGTTGGGGACCGGTGTACTTTTTTTCAGGGAGGGGACAAAGGTATTAACACATACGAGACCAACGGCTGTAAAGCAATGAAACAAGATTGTGCCATATTGTAGGACGTTACGTCAGGACAGGAAAGTTTCAAGTATTAGATGTAAAACACGGTCACGGTCACGGCTAGTCATGCATCTACAATCCGTCCTTACAATAATTACATAAATTACAGCAAAAAAAAATATCAGCAGGTTATTAAGTTTCCTGAAAAAGTCACAGATAAAGCTTTTGCTTTAAAAGGCTCATGTAATGTACTTTCTTTAATGCAATACTTGAAAATGCACCATTGTGTCACATTTAACTATATTTTCAATTTTCATTTGGCCCTTTTGGTGCGCTTTTTTTTGTTTTTATGCTAATGCAAAAGTTCCATATTCATGAGCAAAAGTGTGATGTAATTTCAGGCAGAAACCTCAATGTTACAGCAATTTCAGTACCAAAATTTGTCAGAATTTCAGATCTTTTGCTGTCGTAAATGTTGTCTTTGGTGATTCGTTGTTGTTTCAGCACAAGACAGTAAGCCAATGAGCAAAGTTTTCTCACATATGTTTCAATGAGCAAATTTAGGGTTCACAATTTGGACCCAAAAAACCATGAAGTGAACAGCGTCTTAATTCCTGAAACATCACATCAACGGTGCCCTCATTTGTCAGGAAAAGCATGGGACATTTTAAATGTTTAAAATAGTGCGCTTATCAATAACATTAACCAAAAAGGGATGTCAAATAATGTTCATACATTTAGGAGAAGAAATTTGTACAAAATATGTACCCAAGTTAAGATTCGTGTTATGAGCCCTTTAACATAGGCCGATAGCGCAATTGCAGTTCAATACGAGCCCTCGCCTCACACTTGTAGCTCCAGAAGGCCTGTAAAGTCATCTTGGTCCTTGGATGTATCTTCTACTTGTATGATGATGCAACTTACTTTAGCAGTGCGTGAAAGATCTACGTACCCGCCAGCTAACTGTTATATCGGCGAAATGAATTGGGTATTTCGAATTCTGACCCGTGCCCATACATCTGGTTTTGTCGAAATGGCTTACAGTTTACTTGAACAGTTTTTCAACTTTCTGAAAATCAGTATAGACCTTTTACAATTTCTAGTTGGATTACCAGATATAAATCAAACCTCATTTGTACAAATACATGCGAGTACAAATGCATGCCTGATTTAGGCTAATGGTATCTACACGATTTTGCATACTATTGTTTCAATATGCCTTTTGGAAGTAGAAGTAAGACCGGTAACGAATCACACCGATTAGTGTGTTACTCCGCGTGCACGTGAAGTAGTTCCTAGCTTTGACATGCACCACGTATCATCCCTAATCTAATTTGTGGACCTCCTATGGGCTACGTGAACCCCCGCGTGCGTTAGTTCACCTGTTAGCTCTCTGCAGCATTTATAACAAGCTAATTTGACGGCATGCCATATGCATGACTGCGACGCTGAATTCAAGCTTGAATTTCCGTTTTGAAAACTTGAATGAAGACGGGTGGTATTGTCGTCACGTGCTCGACTGAGCACGGCGTCACGTGATCGCTATGTTTCATTTTTATATCTTTCGTTCAATGATCATTGCTGCTTTGACGTCATCGGTATGTAATTTTCCACCCATGGCGATTTCGCGACGACTTTTTCATGAATTGCTTTTAATAAAGAATTCTAAACGCCACTCCGTGATCATCTATATATTGGAGTGAAATGAAGTGGTCCGGTCTTTATCGTAATAAAATAATTTACACTAAATTGCATACACGTACACACCCAGACTTGTTTCACATACCTAGTGTGGACTTTCCTTTCTTTTCGTGTAGTTAAGGAACACCAGTGGAAAAACTCATTTTTCTCAAACTGTGAAAACTCTTACAACCCAATTTTTTTTCAATGATTCCCTTTAGTGTTTCTCTTCATTCTGCTACAGATAAACCTAACCCAAAAATGCCTCTAAACCTGTTTTCCAGAAATGGGGAAACACTGTGTGGACGTGGGCAAGTCCACACTTCGTCGCTGCTACCTACATTATGTGGACGTCTTTTGTTCGGAAGTCCACACTGCGTATGTAAGACAAGCTCACACACATATTACATACTTACAGTGTGCGATGTTGGCCATTCCGAATGATTAAAACCAACATGCCAGTTTTTCCTTTTTTGAATCTTACTGTAGCACTAATTGTAACGCCATCTATCCGATCATCATTCAAGTGACAATAGTGTGTTACTTTCAAACGTCTAACGTCTGCACAGGGGCGGATCTAACTCTCAGGAAATGGGGGGGGGGAGAGGGGAGGTCCCCCACCCCGGATTTTTTTTTGAATTTTGAAATCGATCTTTTTTCCTGCATTCTATTGCAATTCAAGAATACATTTAGGAACTTATGCATTCCATTTATTATTGTTGGCCCCATTTTACCAGTATAACATTAATCAGCGACTGAAAGGGGGGGGGGGCACCCCCTTTAGATCCGCTACTGCTCAACTGCAGCCATGCAGTTCTTCCGGATTGTAAACATTGCATTTTGCGAATTTGTTTTTGGGCAATTATTGCCATGATTCATAATAAATAATCCATAGTTGTAAGGTATGTGCGAGCATTCAATTTGGCCCTATTCATGACAACAGGCACATCATTTTTCAATTCCCAGGTATTCCCTGATGCATATTTTATGCAATCGTGTACATGTAGTAACACTCTGCCCAGGTATGCTTTGCACGTATGCATTCTAGCTAGCTCGATATAACTGGGAAGTGAATAAGAAATGCATTTCTGCGACTCTTTTGGTGTCCGTACCGTGCGCTTCGTAATCGTACATCATTGAAACACTCCCGGTTGACATTCCGGGGGAGGTATGTTGTATTTGTCCTTCGATAGCTTGTTGACACCTGATACTTGCTGCATCCGCGCAGTAAATCTGATGGCATTTTTTTTACAACAGAATATGATCGCAGATGAACCTTTTTTAACCTGATTCATTTGGGGTCTCCTCGGGCACGATATTCCCCATCGTATTTTCCATATTCTTTTGCTGATTATTTTTAAATTTGGCAGAAATGTTGGTTGACCGAAAAACAATATGTAATGTGAGTTTGCAACTGCAATCAAAAGAGGGTGCTTTAACATTGTGTTGCCGCTTTTAACGTAATGAAATGGCAATAATATGGCATTTTTAAATTTAAATTGCTCGTTTCCTTTCAAATGCGTTCAAACCTAAACATTAAAGCGGCATAATTATCGTCGGCATTTGGTATTTAATGTTCCTGGTAAATATCGCTATAGTCTAATGTACTTTTCGGGAATAATCTTTTTGTGTGACATCTCTCCACGACAGGTTTGTTTTTCCCCTGTCCACTGTGATTCTAATATGTTTTGACTTCATAAAAATATTAATAATTCAACATTTCTTCGAAGAAGTCGGATTTATTTCCTCGCTATCAATTATTCATATTTTAACATGTCAATCCTTGAAATATGGTGGATGTTTACATAAAAATAACAACAGCTTTGTGGAAAGTGTAAATACCTTGGTTGTATTGCTGCATCTATGTGTCCCGGCGAAGGCTCCGCCTCCATCATCGCATTGGTTGATGTCGATAGTTCTGACATCAACATCTGCCGTGGCCACGCCCCTAAAACCAATCATTAAAGATAAGGGTTAATCAAAACATATAGGCATAAAGCACAATGCACTTCATTAAGGCTTGGTTGAGATTCGTCACTTTGTGTGTTGTTTCCAAGCTTACGTATTTATTGATATATTGCATTTGTCGTAGAGGCTGACTGACTCATAGAATAATGATAGTGTAGAGTATACCCAACGAACGAAAGTGCAGTTGGACGTCACAAACCTTAACAAAAAGCTGATTCAAAGGAATAAATAATAAAGCCCAGGGCCAATGCGTATCATGTTCATATAACCATTCTTATCAATCTCGTTGCTGGAGAATAAAGAACTAAATTTGAGTGCTGCCTGCAAACAACCGGCTCCAATTTGTACGCGTTGATTTCCCCCTTTGGAAAATAAATTGAGGGAAGTTCTTGAAAAAAAACCCACCATATTTCATCCTTGTATCTCTTCCTTTCTTAAAATCATACTCTTTCTTTTTTCTCTCATTTTTTCTTCAGTACTGGTACATTGCAGAGTTTTCTCCAGAGCGTTGTCAACAGAATATTATGCATGGAAAATGGATAAACCGGCTGAGCCTTTGACAACGAAAAGCAGTCCAATTCTAGAACAACACCACGCATAGGGCAACATTACTAAATAATTTCAGGACATGGATGTGGGCCTAAACGCATAATGTTAATAAAATGCTCCATCGATTTATATGTAAACAAGATAGCTTGGTTGCAACGCACGGCCCATCACACTTCACATTTTTATTACTCAAGCTCCTGCGCTTAACATAATAGTTTCTGAGAAACTTTAAAAATAACCATGATTCAACCTACACTTAAGAATCTTTGGCCTCTAGAGAGCTTGGTGAATGTCAATTTGTAACTGGAGATTAATTATCTTCAAGAAAATGTGCTGATTTGCCAGACTGAATCCATCTGTAAAATCGTTGATCTTCGTTCCTTTCAAACGAATATATAGTTCGAAAGAGTACACTTTTGACATCCGACGATAAATAGCTTGTTCACTGTGGGTTTTTGTACATGTCTCAAGTGATGGTAACACGTTTTATTGTACTCTTGGGTAATAAAGGTGTATCATTTTTCAAAATACAGGTATACAGGGCGAGTAAGGAAGCCCAAATGGCAGACCAATTATTGAATAAAGTTCTGTATGTAGCACTTTCAAAATCTATTGGACATGAAAGCCTTATTAATAAACTTTCTTATAGCACAAGAATCAATCAAATCACTCGTGTAGTTTTTAAGTTACCTAATTTGAACACAAACACCGTTTTAAAGTTCTGTCCACGGATCACAAGAAAAGGTAAGTGTTCTTTCAGCAAAACGAAAACAATTCACATAGGGATGTAGGCTATGTGAATTGTTTTCGTTCACTATGTGTTGACAGAACAAAATTAAAGATGTGTGGGAAAGTTCGTATTTTACCCGGAAATGTACCTATACCAATTTAATGAGACAAACATGACTCAAAGTGCAGGAAGGATTGCTACCAAATACCTTGAGAGAGTATACTCCACCTAAAAGTGTATCGTTTGAAAGAATACGATAATTGAAGGTGGTTTGAAAATGTTTGCCAGCGAGCACACTTTTTTACATGCGTTAGCAATGGAATTTAATTACGAGACCTCAAAACGTGTGCATGTGTTTCTCCGTTTCCCCAAAATTTATAGTATAGCCACTGAGATAAAATTGTAACAGTTATATTATGTTATGCACCCTTTACATAAGGTTTTGATCCATTTTGTTGCTTCAAACAACAAAACAAACAAACAAACACGAATAGGTCCTAGCAACTGATCTTCTGTAGGCCTACCATTAAAAATGAAATATACAAATACCACGTCATTAGATTGACAATTCCTACATTCACAACTGTATTTATAAAATAGAATGGCATAGCGGACGAGAATAATTCATTCCTTAGGGCCTAACGTGCTTGCATTCCAGGATAATTGTGTGCATAATCAGGTTCGTGTACAGGACAACTTACTCAGTTTGCTGTGCTTCTGGCATATTGTAAACATTAGAAATGGGTTTTCGTAAAATGGATGTCTTGAATAAACAATGTTTGTAGGTGTAATTTAATTTCTGACCAATTTCTTTCCTTTCACACTTGTATTTTAATAATAATGCAGCAGGCGTGAAAAAGACAATTCAGGTTTCCCAAACACTGTTAATTGCGCATTTTATTGCAATGTCACTTGTCTACTTTTAATAATTAATTTTTTCAAAATGTATTTTCAATTTATACGTTTAATTGTCTCGTATAAAGTGGCCTTCGGGTCACGTAGAATCGAGATAAATAAAATAAAATGAAATACAACACAAACGAAACAAAACGAAATGCCTATGTTTTTTTGTTTCACAAAGGGACTAATAATGCTTCGAACTGAGGTGTTTGATTGTTTATTTGAATTATTGAATATTCGAGTCAATTTTTAAAACATCACTATCCGGAAACACTTATTTAAACGTTTTATTTAAAAACAGGTCCTCAACAGCCTACAAATTAGATCCAGCTTTTCAGAATATCCGAAACAGTCGTCGGGTTGCTGTGCGACCGAATGGTCGGCGGGGTCGGAGACACACGGCCCAGCATCCCGGAATCAGTCTATCACGCCGAATTGGGTTTTCTCAACGGAATTACAGAAAATGCTCTTATGTCGATTGCCGCCCAGGAATTATTGCTTGTGCATCGACGTGTGGCGTCGGATCAGGACCCATTTTCAGATGGGTAATAGCCATTAGCGCGGCGCTGTATGTTGATTTATTACAGTACACTAACACAATTCGCATTAGCATCGAATCGTTTTGCGTTGCCCGACGGTAGCTTGGGTGTCGCGCTCGGGAAATGAGGTATAATACCAAGACACAGGAAAAAACAAATTGGGGTTTACGCAGCATTGTGATGGGAAGATAACATGGGATGGGGTAAAGATTTTAGGGCATTTGGAACGGTAAGGATTCCATGATCATGGGAAAGTCGGAAGTTAGTTACTTTTAGTTAAGAGCGAATTATGCGTTGCGCACTACATCCAATATTACTTTCTCGAATACCACATGTCAACAGCACACACAACCATTAGTACACTCGTGTTGATGAGAGTGTTTGGGAGATTAAACTACCTTAACTTTAACCCTAGCAAATCGCAATTCAGACGTCACACATATGGAATATTACGGTGTGTGCTTATGAACAAAACCCAAACAGGCCTACCATTTAATTCATTCATGCATACAATTCAATGATGCATGTAAAAGATCAGAGTGCTGATGACACAGCGATGGTAATGGGGAATTTAGGCTTGCATTTTAATTTTGCACATACAAATGTAGCTTATTCTCATGCATGAACATTTTCGCTGGTCCCAGGGGCAGCCAAGAGTCGTCTTTGTACCAATCTCACTGACTGGCTCACTAACTGACTAAATAACTGAATGTCTAATTCGGGCGGTGCTATCGTATAGGATAGCCCCGCATAGTGCCAATGAATGGGCTAAATCCGGCCTGTTGTAAAGACCAGATGCAGGAACTGACTTCTAGTGTATAGCCATGCATTCTCAGTGAATCAGCTAATTAAAAGCTAAATTGTTGGTGCATGTTGGATTGAAATTGGAATAGACCTATCACAAATTGTGTACAAACCGAAAACCGCCATGTCATTTCTATTGGCTTTCAGTCTTATCTCTTGATAACCGATGTCGAGATGAGCCACTGGTAAACAGGCCGGTTGAGGCCTGTCACAATGGTGAATGATGATCGATTAATGCGGTCACGCATAAGTAAAATCTTGAAATAATTCTGGCAAAAGGCCAACTATATTTCACGGTCTATATATATATATTTTTTATACAATCACTCGAACGATTGTCGTGTGATTTGTTTTAAAGCACGTAGGCATATATAGGAACCTTTTCCAATTACCTTGGAACGCACCAGCGGACAGATTTAGCAAATCCTTGCTTACAGTGAAGGCAGACTGGTACCAAATATGAAATTATTGCGTCTGAAATGGTATCATTCGGAAGAAAACATCATTAAAGGTGGTTTAAGAAAGTGTGACCGCGGGCACAGTTTTGTTTGCGTGCTTTAGGGAAGCCAGTTACGACGGATACCCCCAAAATAGTCCATACGTTTTCTCTATTTTCACAAAAAGTATCCATTGAGCTAAAACTTCATCAAGTGAGTGGTTATGCACCCTTCTCAAAATTTTGAGTACACTTTTGTTGCTCCAAACGAAAAAAACAAACACACACGCATGTAAATGTGTTCACACCGTCAATCGTAAACGTCCTATCGTCCCTCTTGTTTGTACTTTTTAGGAAGACTCCCATATGTTTTGTACACGACCCCAATCGCGGACGTATGCTGAGAATCGTAGACGATATTGTTCTCTTTTGTTCTCTGGGATTTTTGGTCCACGGTTTGAAAAGATGAATACGCCCACAAGTGTGTTTTGCCTGCAATCGGGGACCCCTTATTTTCCCTCCTTTGTTTGTACTCTAACTTTTTAGGAAGACCTCCCATATGTTTTGTACACGAATCCCAATTGGGGACCTCTCGGGAATTGGGGACCCTACTGTCCTCTATTGTTCAACGTCCCCTCATTGAATGCAGAAACAAACTCACAAAGAGCAAATGATCCTGTGTGTCTTTAACGGAGGAGCTTTTGTCTCAAGTTCATTAAAAAAACCAAATCAAAGCACCTCAAATTCACGAAGGATCCGGAAGCTCGCCGCGTGACCTTTTTCCTTTCAGGTTCTATGGCGACCCAACCTCGTTTCTCGGGTGTCGAGCAGTACGCGCCCACCCCTACCTGTTCACTCACCCTGGTATTGGATCATTTGCATGTGCAAGATTTTTGAACACGTATGCAAATGAGGAATAGTCTGGTGCCTGCCTGTGCGTTACATTTGTGTTTGTTTTTATATGCGGTGTCTGGAGTAAAAACAGAATCAATTCGTAACAGCGCGAGCATGGCGTGCGTTACGAAAACACGATTTT